ATTCTTCAGACATGAAGGAAATCAATCCCATTATACAAGTGAAAGAGCAGAGCATAAGCTAGGGGTGTGGGGCATAGTGGGGAAACTAATACAAAACATGGTTTCCAGTATAAATTCATTACCATATTTTAAGTTGCTGGAATGAATCTGTAAAGATGAAGTCACACTTCCACCCAATCCTTACTTCACCTAACAATGGATTTTCATGATCTTTGGCCATGGCTACTAGATGAGAAAGAGGTCTTTGGTCATGTTATTTAAGTAATTTCCTAATTAGTCAACTGTAGAACTTTCCTAAAAAGAAGAAAAATTAAAAACTAAAATTGTGAAAATATCAAGTAAATGGAGACAAGTTTTTAACACGTTAAACTCCTGTTTTTAAATTGTTTGAATAAAATATACTTCCCAAGTCTAAACATCAACTTATTGTTACCTTATAAACGAAACCACTAAGCATTTATTTCTGCTACTGAGTTTACAAAATATACCTTGCTGACAATGATGCTATTTCCAAGGTTATTTTCTATTTTAAAGATCTGATGAACAAATACTTGCTTAAACTCTAAAAATTTAAGAAGCAAAGAAAGAGAAGAGTAGAGATAAGACAGACAACATTGGTTTTTGCTTTGCACACTGTTGTGGAGACTGTATACAGGGAGAAGAAAAAAGGTAGGAAGTGAACTTGAACAGGAAGATTATTTCAGGATAAAGTAAGTTCCTTAGGATAAAGACCATTTCCTCTGTATTTTAGTAGACCAAATCTATCTAGGCCAAGTGGAAAAACACACAAATGCCAGTAAGAATTCCATAAAACAGCAACAATGAGGAAGAGAAACCACATGTAGGTTGCCAGAAGGTACAATGAAAACACCCAGCGGTAAATGCTGGGCAAAACTCACAGGCGTGTTTGTTTTGGAAGTTCAGAGTCAAGCATGTGGGTGGACCCAATGAGAAATACCAAACTGCTGCACAGCACAGATTCTCCTGTTCTGGCTCCCTTCCCACCCACCCTACCGCTTTCCCACCCGCCCTACCCCTTCCCAGACCATATCCCAGAAAGATAACTTTAATCAACTTTAGACAAAAACCTCCAATTAGAATAGGATACCCCTTGCACAGCGCACTAGGGGTCCATTTCTGCACTATGCCCAACAGCCTCTCTGTGGAAGGATGACTAGGTGGCTTCATGCATGCCTGAGGCCAGGTACTGCTGTAGACTAGGATGGAAGTAGGCAGGATGAATGCCTTGCAGCTATGGAGGTACCCAGTGTCACCTGTAATAAAACTAGTGGCACAAGCTCAGCCTCCTTCCCAGCATGGACACCCTGAACCCTGCTTCTAACCGCTCACCTGCCTCCTGCCTCACATTCCATTCCTATATTTTGCAACCATCGGGCTATTTCTCAGCAGAGACGCCATGGCTCCACTGTTTCAAACCCAAAAGAAAATGCAGCTCGGTGAGAGTGTTGGCCTGCAAACACAAGGGTAATGGGTTCAATTCCCGGTCAAGGACACATACCACCATGGCGGGCTCAATCCCGCCCTGGTCAGGCCCCATGTGGGAGGCAATCAATCCATGTGTCTCTCTCTCACTTCGATGTCTGTCTCTGTCTCTCTCTGTCTCTGTTCTGTCCCGACTCCCACTCTTCCTTCCCTCCCACTCTGTCTGAAAATCAATGGGAAAAATATCCTCAGGTGAGGATTAGGGGGGAAAAAAGGAAATGCAGATGGGCAAAAACCCAAGGATGGCAGAGAGTCTAGTAATAATTAAAAAGAACTAAGATATAATGAGCTCTTTGATGTGCATTTTCAATGGACTGTGTCCTTCAGTCACCACAAACAAGCTAGGAGGTAGATGTTATGTTCCCGTACAGATAATGTAACCAAAGCACAAAAATACGTAATTTGTCCCAAGTCATACAGAAAGGGACTCAGCTCAAACCCAAGCAGTCTGCTCAAGAATCCATAGGCACACCTATTAGTAAAACATGAACAGATGCTAGAGTTAGGAAAATATTTATTTGCCCAGGACTTCAGTAATAACCTCCTTCATTCTCATTTTGACATGATGCAGCTTGAAGCCGCTTCCCTAGGAAGCTGTTACCAAAAAAATTACTGCCTTGTGCCCACATCATTCTCTCTTCCTCTCTAGCAAAAATACACCCAAAAGACAGTGTTTTCCAGTGTCTAAGTTACTTTCAGACATGATAATTTATTTCTATTAGGAGAAAAAAAAGTAAAACAAATTGCTAAAGAAAAAAAATGAACAATGCCATTATTTTGACAAATTCTATTTTCTAAATAAAATATAATTCTACTAAAGTCCTGGTGCACAAAATTCATGCATTTGATGGGGGGGGGGGGGGTTGTCCCTCAGCCCAGCCTGCACCCTCTCGCAGTCCAGGAGCCCTCGGGGGATGTCTGACTGCCAGGGACTGTGGGGAGCGGGCTTAAGCCAGCAGTCGAACATCCTGAGCGCTGCTGTGGAGGCGTGAGAGGCTCCTGCCACGGCCGCTGCGCTCGCCAGCCATGAGCCTGGCTTCTGGCTAAGCGGCGCTCCCCCTGTGGGAGCACACTGACCACCAGGGGGCAGGTCCTGTGTTGAGCATCTGCTACATGATGGTCAGTGTGCAACACAGCGACCAGTTGTTCAGCTGTTTGGTCAATTTGCATATTAGCCTTTTATTACATAGGATTAATATTTTTGTTTTGTTTAGGGAAAATAAATCTATTTTAAAAATATGTTTTTATTGATTTCAGAGAGAGGAAGGGAGAGGGAGAGATAGAACACCACCCATTGGGGATTGAGCCCGCAACTCTGGCATGTGCCCTGACTGGGAATAGAACCATGAATAAATCTACTTTTAATGCCTTTAAGAACCTTTAAAAATATCTCTTTTTAAATATATATTTGTTATTGATTTCAGAGAGGAAGGGAGAGATAGAAACATCAGTGATGGGAGAGAATCATTGATTGGCTGCCTCCTGCACACCCCGCACCATGAAGAAGGAGCCCTTTCTGCCCAGCTGACCTATCTGTCAGAAGATGGATATGTAGGAGGCAAGGAAATAATGTTGCTGCTGCAGCTAACAGTTGCTACGTGCTATATGGCCACAATTTTCTATGTGCTTTTTGTCCGCTATTTTGTTTAACTGTCATAACAACTCTCTACAGCTTTGTTTTATTATCCCTGACTTTCAGAGATGTTATAGAACTTATCCAAGGTATAGAGCTGATGACAAAGATGGCAGACCTGGGATTTCAATTCATGTTTGTGTGTTTTTCCTTCTGTGATACACTGCTTCAAAAAAGGCAAAGCATAATGAGCCCAGAAACAGTTATGAGTGACTGTGTGCTTTGGACAGCGAAGGGTTTGGTGAGGCATTGGAGAATAGTACAGGGCAAAAGCTTCTTGGTCTGGGGGACTGGATTCTGAATAGCCATGATAAGAAAACCAGTAGTAGTAAGTGTTTGTGGGCTGGTCCTGGGAAGAAGATGGGCGGAGGGGGGGTTGGAACAGGGCTGGTGGCTGGGGCTGGTGGCTGAAGGGGCAGCAGGAAAACAAGTTCTCATGAGAGACCTACATTCTGAGATGGTCTAGTAACTAATGTCCAGTTTTGTATCTCACATACCAAACTGAAGAATGGAGTCTGCAATTGAGGGTGAAGATAGATGGGGAATATAAATTTGGAGTCACCCGCATATAGGTGGATTTAAAGCCAACTAAGAGAGATCATCTAGAAAAAGATGTATGCCTGGGGCCCTCCAACACTTAAACTTAACGATAAGGTGAAAACAGCCAAAGTCAGCAAAGACGGGTGAAAAGTAGAGGACATGAAGGTAGAGGAAACCCAGAAGAGGGCAGTGTCCTGGAAAGCAAGAAAGTGACATTTCCACTCCACTGAATGCTACCACCTGCAATAAAGTGACCTATGGGCTTAGCAATGTGAGGTCACTGGGAATATGACCTTTTCAGTGATAGGCTGGGGAAAAGCCACACAGAAGTGGGTTAACAAGTTAAAGGCAATTAAAATAAATGACATTTTAAAGAGTGGGAGGTGAGGAAGTAGACCACAAGAACAGACAATCTTCCAGTAAGTTTACCGACCCACACAGCAGATAACTCATTACCAGCACCACCACAGAAGGCTGCTCAGAGCTCAGTAGGAGCAAGTGGGGGGCGGGGAGGAAAGAGGGCTTGGGGGTAAGGAAAAGCTTCTGAGAGAGAGGTAACCAAATCCTAGCACGCAGGTAAGACCATCCTATAGTGATGTGTCCCTATAATGAAACTATTTCCACCAAACATACACAACTGCCTACCTGCTCCTAAGGCAGTGGTTCTCAACCTGTGGGTCACGACCCCTTTGGGGGGGGGTCGAACAACCCTTTCACAGGGGTCGCCTAAATACATCCTGCATATCAGATATTTGCATTACGATTCACAACAGTAGCAAAATTACAGTTATGAAGTAGCAACGAAAATAATTTTATGGTTGGGTCACAACATGAGGAACTGTATTAAAGGGCTGCGGCATTAGGAAGGTTGAGAACCACCGTCCTAAGGAAATCGTGTTAAATAAAGAGTCAGTACTAACCATGACTAACTTGCATGGCAGTAAAAATATGTATAAGAAATTGTTCTCTAGGAGAAAAACAGTCCCAGTTGGTCAGTTGTGACATCACCAGTTGCCTGGCCCAACGGCCCGGGGCAGAGTCAGGACCTCCATGAGCTCCGCCCCGAGGTTGCAGGATGTGTGGATGGGACAGGGGTTTGCTCATTGTGGTGGAAGGAGGTGAAGATAAGGTAACTAAGCAATGGGCACTGTGTCTGCCCTAACACTTTCCCACCAAAACACTGACGGACAGAAATCACTTCGCAAAAAGTCTCACTTGGCCAGAAATATAAGAAACTGAAGAAAAGTGAGTTTTGAGCCAGTGGGTGGGGGTGGCTCAAAAATATCTCTAGAAGTGACCAAACTGTGAAAGGAAAGCCACTCACCTCGCTGTTGTGGCCCCGCAGGTTGAAGTTAATTCTCTGTGGCGTGTTCCTGTCCCGGCGGCAGTGGCTGGAGGTGAAGGTCACGCCCACGACGCCCCGGCCGTTGCCCGTGGCCAGCCAGCCCTCCTCATAGTAGCGCCTCCTGCACACAGGCTTCTCCTTCTCGCTCTTGGGGACGCGCCCCTTCCAGGACAGGCAGAGGATGTTCGAGTCGCTGCAGAGCACAGGCCCCTGCTCCACCGCTGCATACATACTTCTCCCAGTGGGCTCTTGTACTTAAAGAGCAATGCTGAGTGCTGAAAAAGCTAACCCAATTCCTCTCATTGATTAATTCTATTTTTGTGGTTGGCTTGCTTGGCTTCTCCGGTCTCCTTTAGTTAAGATTGACCTGGATCTAATTAGAAGGTCAGTATTTTATAAAGATCCACCAAATGCATAGTGAAAAAATTCCTCTATAAAAGATGATGGCAGTCTGCTAAGAAAAGGTGATGCTTAAAAAAATGTGGGGTCCATTTTTATTTTCAAGTCCTTAGAGGAAGAGTGGGCTGACCCTTTGGAGAAAGAGCATCATTAATATGTAGTGATCAAGAAACTGAGTTTCCTTCTGTTTACTCAACTTGGTTATTCTGATTCCGCCTGAGATTCCAGTTTAGTGTAATATGATTCCAGAGACCAAGGGTTGCAAATACATAGATTTCAAGTAACTTAAGGCTTTAAGAATCCCTCGAGCTGGAATTTTTTCTTCAAAAGTTCACACGCAGAAACAAAGCACAGGGGATCCTCCTCTTTCTGAAGCTACCCTCTGGCATGTTTTCTCAACGAGACAAATTTCTGCTGCCAAAGCTGAAAAAGATTGCATAAAGGGGGAAAAGGCACACACACCGTGCAGAACGACCAGTTTGTGCAGACAGCAGTCCAAGTTTAGGAAGAAAAGTTCTTTGCCGTGGTTCAGAGCCCAGCGGTGTCCTGGCAGGTCCCTGTGCTCCCCCCCCACCCCCCACCCCCGAGAGCGGGGCTCTATCTGACTGCCCTCACAGCCCACGCAGCCCTCATGCCAGAGAGGGGGCGAGAGGAAGCCCCTTCACGCCGCAGAGCCAGGGCGTTGGTCCAAGCGTTTGCCTCAGGTGAGTCCTAAATCCTCTTGCTGACAAAACGAAGCCTCGCTGCAGATTTCTTCTTTTGCCTGTCTCCTTCCTCCCCCCAGTCTAACTTCTCCCCTTTCTGCTCCTAAAAATCACACATTTTTTCATCTTGGAAGAAAAAAGAAGAATCTCAGATTTAAGTCCATCAAGTAATCCTCCTCTTATATGCACAAGTCTTCTTGAACTCCACAGAAGAGAAGAGAACAAAACACAGGCAGGGTCGGGCTCTTCCCCACTGTGTCCCTCAAGAGTTACCACATTTTGCTGATGGGCCCTTTTCTGTTCACATTCAGAGAATGTTTCCAGATGCCACACGTACAGTCCAAGGAAAAGAAGCTTTGCTTGGATGTTCCTTGATATTTATTTATCGGTTTCAAATAATATTATCCTGTAGATACAGAAAAGGAAAGGGAAAAAATAAATTAAAGTTTCTCGAGTATAGTCAACTGAAAAAGGCAAAGGAACCAGTTCATTGTTCAAACTTGTCCCATCAAACCTGAACTGGCTTTCCTCCAGTCACCAGCTCACAGTAAAGAAACTTGTCAGTCCAGAATTTTACAGTCTCTGTCCAAATCATCAAATCCACTGAAAAATAAAGTGCAAAAACCACTGCTTGATCCCACCGGCAATGCTTGAAATCACACTTCTCCCTCGGGCACCGTCTCACTTAGCTCCTTATTTCAACTGGAGAGGTATTTTTGAAGCTTGATCTGTGCAAGTTTTTTTTTCTTCTTTTTGCAAACTTTCTTTACCCGTGAAGACCATATGGAAAATTGGCCATTAGTGATGTATTTTTCTCCCCGGGCCGCTGAGCCCAGTGGTGTCAAGTTGCTCCATCTGATTCTTAGATTAATTTTCATCAGTTGTAAAATGCTTCAAGTGTGCACCAGAATGAGCCTGTCTTCTCGTGTGTGTGTGTGTGTGTGTGTGTGTGTGTGTGTGTGCATAGAAAGGTTTTAAATATACACCGACATACACTCTTCAACTGGCCCGTAAAGTGTCTGTTTTCCCAGTCATTTCAGGAACCATCTGATTAATCACAGCATGAAGGCCCTGGAGTCTTACAAATCTGTAAAACAAAACAGGATATAAAAAGTGTTAAAATGCTGAAGAATAAAGCTTCTAACAGAATAATCGTTGTAACTGAAATTGGAGACCCATCTTTATGGAGCCAGTGATGGTACAATTCAAAGAGCAAAAAGGTACATCCCACCAACTTAGAGACAATGTACAACGTAAGTCTGAGTGCCGTTACCGGTTATTAAATTGGCCAGTAGCCGGGCAGACCGGAATGAAATCACTGCCTGTCTCCCACACTCTGCCCTCCTTTCTAAGACTCCGGATTATGCAAGGTGACCCCTCCAGAGGCTGTCATTCTGATGAAGCTGGCAACATCCAAGAGGAGACTGAAGAGGCTCAGGCCGGTTATGTGATTTCTGCCCCGTCCCCAATCAGTAAAAGATGTTCCCGAAGACAGAAGGCAGCAAAGGTGTTTAAAACCCCCTCCATCCTGATTGGGGGTAGGTCACAGAGCAAAGCACAGCTGTTTTCTCAACTTTTAAACTGTCTAATAGCAATGAAGTCCAGCAAATCCATTCTCTTCTTCCTACTACCTTCAGTCCAAACCACACCCCATCCACAAAAACAGCAATGACTCAGCCCCTATCCCCCACACCATCCAGCCTTCCCCAGGGTCCTCAGAGTGAGCTTTTACAGAAATGCAAGGCTGCTCAAGAGCCTGTCTGTTCTTTCCTGGCCTGGGCAGTCCCCTAGAGGCCTAGTGAAACACAGCCTGGCCTCAGCCACAATACCGGACCTCAGAGCCGCAGGCTGGGCCTAGGCATGTGCATTTCTAACAAGCTCCCAAGATGCTAATGCAGCCGGTCTGGGGAGCAGGCTTGGAGAACCCTGGTCAACGGGACCAAGTCCCAGCAAGACCCTTGACGATGTGATTTCAGCTTGTCCTCTTCTCCTGACGGCCTCCACGCCCAGCCTGTGTTACCACCATGGCATTGGGCCACTCCCTGTCCACAAAGTAATGTGTTCTTCCTCTCCTTCATGTCTCCACCGCGGCTGCTCCCTTGCCAGGCCCCAAGGCTTCCTTTAAAAGCCACCTACAATGGCCCCTCTCCTGTGCTGCTTCCCAGAGCACCAGCACTAACTTCTGTACCAGCCTCTTTACACTGCATTCCAACGCTCTTCCCTAGACTCCCGGAGGCAGGGAACCCGTCTTTCTCATCTCTGGAGTAGACCCTGCATAAACTGGGTGCTCAACAAAAGGAGGAGGAGGCAGGCAGGAGCAAGGCAGCAGCTACACCTCATTTCCTCGAGAGGCCCTGCTACGGGTGAGTCACAGTATGTACATTGTGTATGTGCCAATAAATCAAAACAACCAAAATCTCTCAGGAAGCACTTGCACCTGAAAAAAAAAAAAAGTGAAAACAAATGCTATAAAATTCAAATGAATGCCAAGTTCGTCCTCCTAAAATACTAACACCACGGAATACCACCACCTTAGTCCCTATTCTGGCGTGGGGGCAGCATCACAGATGGGAAAAGCAAAAGCAACTTCTCAAGACCCAGCTATACATATGCATGGGTTTTAAACAACTGAAGAGCATAATTCATGATTATTAAAGCATCTACATTAAATACGACAATGTAAATTATCAGTCATCCCACCGAAACCCCCCAGGGTGCCCATAAAGTGAAAATAATTTTCATAATAATACTAGGACGTTATGTGCCTTCTTCACTGTGTTTATAATTTGTATCAGTGGTACAAAAGGGATAGTGGGTCAAATTGCCAACTCTCTAATACCAATCACGGCATTGGTACCCAACTGTACCAGTACTCATTGGATTTTTTTGAAATGCCAGCTTAAGAATGCTCTCGATTTAGCAATAAAATTGTTAATTTTATTAAATCTCAACCACTGAGTACATGGCTGTTAATATTCTGTGTTTCAAAACAGCAACTACACAGAAAACATTTCTCTTGACTATTAAAGTACAACAGTAACCCTGGAAAACGCACTTATGCTATAGTTCGTTTTATCTGATTCCTACTTTCCACTGACATGAATAAAATTCACCAGTGGGGGGAATAAAAATGCACTTTTGGTTTTTTAAGAAACATTTGAATTAATGTCAGAGATCAGAGATAAATTTGGGAAGATATTTTCCATGTACACAATTCTGATAGAAATACTAGTTTTCATTAAAAGTTATAAGCATGCAACCACTCTGGAAAACAGTTTGGTTCATTAGTACTAATGAAGATGTGAACACTCTGGATACAGCAATTCCACTCCTTTTACTTCAAATAGAACTATATTCTGAAATTTCCTCTTTTCTCCATTTAGTGATGAGATTATCTATCGATCTATTTGACTCCATGCATCAGCACGTCTTCACAAGTACTCCGGGGCACACACACAGACAGGCATTTGTAGCAGTAGCATCATTTACATTAGCCAAAATTGAAACCAATCTGAATGAATCAAGCGTGGTACAGTATATTCAACAACAGAATTCTATACAGCAAGGAAAATGAACTACAGAATAAAATGCATGAGTTTCTCAAACATAATGCTGAACAAGGGATCTTATGGGGGAAAAATCTACAATATGAATCCGTTTACATAGAGTTCAAGACAGGCAAAACTAATGTTATCAGTTAAAACTGCACACACAGACAGTTTTAGAAACAAGAAAAATGTAATCTAAAGCAGTGTAGTGGTTCCCTGGGGGTGGAGGCTGTGAACAGAGAGGGGCCCACACAGGAGTGTTGCTCAGTGCTCACCACAGTCCATGTCTTGACCTGGGTGGCAGTCTGGGGTGTTCCCTCTTATAATTATTCTTTACTTCCAATATGTCTAACATATTCTCCTACATGTATGATGCATCTCACAATAAACAGGTAGAACAAGCTGTCAGGTATATTAGGCCAGCATCCTTTGAGATTTTTAGAAAAGTTAAATCAATTATTCAGAAAGAATTTTTAAAATTATTATATACAACCTTAATGAATACTCTCCCAATCTAGAAAATCCCAATCAAGTATCAAAGATGTTATGTTACTTCTCAAGCTAAGCAGGTGTCCACAAAGAAAATGCCTATTAATGGTAATAAATGGAGATAAGAGAACATTTCAGAATATAGTTCTATTAGAAGTAAAAAGTACATTTGAAGAAAAAATATACAGACATTAGATGAACACAAAGCAGGAAGAAAAATGCAGTAGAAACTTTTGAATAAAATATTCCAAACATCCTAGAGTTTAAGGTTTTGATTCTAGACTTGTTTGGGGGTTAGGGAGAAGGGAAAGGAAAATGAGATTTTCTGGTTGGGGCTGTACATTAAACACATCCTGATGTCTACTCTGCAGCCATGGCCGGCCATTACTCTATGGCTGGCAGGGTAGACGGAGAGGGGCTCTCGCCACCCTCAGGCAGGCCACCCTCAGTGCCCTTTTCTACAGATAGCAACAGACCCTGAACTCACTTTTCTTTTTAACGGAAGCAACTAAGATGACCTGTCTTTAATTACAGTTACTCCTTCCCCTGGGGACTTTTCCACAACCCACAAATATCCATGGAGTCCAAGGCTGTTCTAACTGGTTCCTAATGAGCTTCAATAGCTGCCTAGAGGGTAGTTTGAATTTGCCTCCCAAGACTGCCTTTTAAGGCAGGAATACTCTCAGCAACCACTCCTCATGTGGCCACTTACACAGCTAGGGAAGTAACTATATACATGGAAATTTTACACCACCACTGCAAAGATAAATGGAGCTTAGTAATAATTATATGTCTTTATAATGATTATCTATCTATCTATCTATCTATCTATCTATCTATCTAGTTTTACCATTCTCAAACCATGCTAGTGAGATAATAACTAAAGACATGCATGCATGGTTATGCCCAAGCTTATTCCAAAGATGCATTCTTACTACAAGTGTGTCAGGATGGAACCGTTTTCCCATTGCCTTGCACTATAAATTTTAGAGATGCATTCCACAGAAAAGCTGTCTTATTCAGAAGAGCACCAGCCCCGTTAGATGCAGTGCACTGAAGCGCTGTACAGGCTCACATGGCAAGGGTCTTCTCTATTTGTGGTAGAGCTCTTTTTCTGTTTAATTCATGCATAGTAAACCACAAACTCCTAGACTCCGATTTCTACCTCACCTGCAGTACCCAGCAGTACTTCTTTTAATTAAGTGCTTAACAAGGCACTAAGTATGCTACAGAGCCCCCAACAGTCTTCTAAGAAAAAGGGAAATAATAAATACTGCCTGAATGAGGTTCTCTCGGGACCCTGGGTGAACACCAACCACTCAGAATCTGGGTCCCCTGAAAGCCGAGGCTGACAGTCACTGCAGCCCGCTGAGTAAAATAATTCAGAGAGGAAGCCGTGCATCCACGGCTGTGCTGAGAGAACAGAGAAGAGGCACATTGTCAGGGAAAGTTACTCACTCTTTACTTTCTTCGCATGGTTTCAATAGCCAGTTGTGAGAACATGCACACTTAGTTATCTGTACAGAGAAAGGAGGGTGTAGAGGCTGTAAGACAAACAGCTGGATTACTGGTTTACAAGGGAGTGGGATACTTCTAAGAGTGCATCTGCACCTGACACTTAGGTGATGGAACAGCTCACTGGTATCAGAAGTCATGTGCCTTAATTTAAAAAGGAGGACATTCCACTTATCAAAGTGACAAAAACTGAAAACCATGGTAATTCCCAATGTCATGTAGGGCACAGAGAAATGAGAGACCAATTTGGTGATATAATTTAAAAGACGTAAAATGTTGTAAGCCATTTAGTTTTCATTATTGATTTCAAAGAGGAAGGGAGAGGGAGAGGGAGAGGGAGATAGAAACATCAATGATGAGGGAGAATCATTGATCAGCTGCCTCCTGCAAGATCTGAGGCAGCCCCCAGCTAGGAGTCAAGCCCAGAACCTGGGCACATGCCCTGATGGGGAATCGAGCTGTGACCTTCTGGTTCATAGGTTGATACTCAACCACTGAGCCACACCAACCAGGTGCAAACTTTGATTTAGCAAAT